TTTTTTTTTTTTTTTTTAATCTACTATTGTTAATTATTGTTGCGTTAATGGAATTTTTATCGATCGATCGATAAAAATACTCGTGTTTCTCGTATGTCTACTTAACTAGGTGCTCCGTATATTATATGAGAATCTCGTTTTCAAAATTGAAATTGAAATTATGAGAAACTATATTGTGTATGTACAAACGATATTGTAACATCAATGCGCACAATGTCGCGATTCTTTTATGCATTTTCGTGCTTTCGATTGGTTCAGATGGTTTTTTTTCATTTTCTTCTTCTTCTTCTTCTTCTTCTTCTTCTTCTTCTTCTTCTTTTGCTGCTGCTGATCGTTTCTTAACGCTGCATAGCCAACGCGTTCAAATAAATCGTATGAACGGAAAGAAAAACGGTTGATCTTATTCCTTGATGCGATCAGCAACAGTTTCCAAATTTCATGCCACTTTCTTCTTACTTGTCTTCTTGCTGCGAGGGAGAGTAGCGAAGCTTGTTATCTGAAATATCAGAGATACGAGCGTTATGGTAGAATCGTTTCAATTCTTTCGATTAAATGCAAATTTGAAAACTGCTCGAAATGATTTATCACATCACACTGGCTGTAGAGAAAATATATTATGAGGAACAAAGTCAATTTCGATGCAGTATTTGAAGTTTTCTATATTTTGTTTGGGGGAAATTTTTTCTCTTTCGTCTCGAGATCGTTTTAATCCATAGAGAAATTAAAATTTTCACAATGAATTCACAAGGAAAAGTAATAATATGTCTTCGTTCTTTTGAAACATTAGAAGAAGAATTGAAATGGTTTGATTTAGATGTAAATAAATTATTAGATCTATAATGAAATAATTTGATGTTACTTTTTTCACTTTTCAATCTTTTTGAAATATATGAAAATTTCTTTGTAAAGTATCTGTTATTTAGAATACTATTTTAATAAATTTTTTTAAAAAAAATATACAAATTCATGTTCAGGACGAAAGAGAAACAATTTCCACGAAAGTTTCCAGAGTATACTTTCTTCTTTGAAGCGACAATTAATAATTTAATAATGGCGATATAGCTGTTAATAATTAAATATACATCATGCAGGTTTTAAGATAATAACACTCGCTAAATTAGTGATCTAATTAACACAAAACACTCTAGAAACATTTTCATACGATATGAACGAACGAATTAATCCGTTTCTTCTCTCCAGATTTCCAGTACGTTTAAAGTATCTAGCAGGTGGTGGGGATGAGGAAGGAGGTTAGGTTAGGTTTAACTCGTCAACGAGAACCAGTCAAAAAGACCCGTGTAAATAACTCTTATAATATATTATATTACGCAATAATAAAATTTTATTCTTTTTAAAAAATATCCGACTCCAATCTCCTCCCAATTTTCGACGTCTCCTCCCTTATTATTCCCGACTCGACGCTCTCTTCTATCCCCTCTTCATCCGTTTCGACGCTCTCCATTTTGCTCCGTTTATCATCGGTTGGCGCGAGTACGTAAGAGCCGTCAGAGCTGTTGGACGTGTCGTTCTCGCTCTCGTCGTCGTTACATCGAACGCCCTCTGATTTCGGTTCGATTATCATTTCCCGATTATCGACGCTGCTCGATCTAGTTCCGTCCCCCTTTTCCTTGGCCCTGTGAAAAGCGTTCTGAAACACGTTCCTCGGGATGGCGAGCAATTTGGAGAAACCCTCCCTGGTCCTCTGCCTCTTCGACCTCTTCCCCTTCGACCTCGCATCCGAGCCGTCGCCGGTAAACGCGTCTTTGCTCCTCAACGTTTTGATTACCAATGTGGCTCTCAACGCGCCATCCTCTCCCTCCTCATTTCTCGCGAGAGGCACTTTGGGCGCCGGCCTCTTGTTGTACCTTCCAGCTCGGCCGAGATTGGCCGAATTTCTGCGCGACACGCTCGGTGTCGTCCAAACGTCCAAGGAGCCCTCGATCCCCATCGCCGCGTCCTCCATCTTTGTTTCCTCGGCGACTTCGTCTTCTCCGTTCGTTTCTTCAATTTTATCACCCGCGACATCTTGCGACAACGTCGTCTCGACGACGATGGACGCGTCGCTCAGACGCAACTTTTCTTGGGTGTGAACTATATTGTTGACAGCTTTGCGGGCGTCGCTCAGGAGTTGTTTGAGCTCCTCGAACTTGTTTTGACAGAGTTGATCCGTTATTGGGGGATGGATCGCGTCGTCGTTTTCTTCTTCGTTGGTTGATCTTTTGGAAGATTCATGGCGATGATTATGCGACGAGTCGGTGTTCGCTTCTGTTAGCGAACGTTTGGAATCGGTTCTCGCCTCGAGGGCTGGAATTGTTGGAAGCTGTGCGGCTATACGTACGGAATCCAATGGGTTAGCGACGGTTTCTAGTGATTTTGTCACTGGTTCCGGGCCTGATTGACTGGTGTGTTTAAGTAAATCGACGTTACCTGGGAAAACGGGGCCACGATCGAAATCGATATAATCAGCGACATTACGGTTTTGCGAGAGCAGAAGCAAGATCTCGAGTGCTTGTTCGGGAGTGACGAGATTTAGAGGTGGCGGAAATGAGATATTTTTGGAGAAGGGAGGATCGATGCTGTCGGAATCCTCTCCCGAGTCCTTCAAATATCACAAAAATTTATTATCAAATATAATACCTGGACGGAGGAAGATAAACAAATGAAATAATTTCGAATAATAAATGGGTGTATAGGAAATTTAGGCGAATATTTCGATCGACCAAGGTTAAAATTCTCGGCACAAATTTTTGCACGATGTCTCCGAAATCTCTATTGGCATCCCTTTTTAATAGCATTTTTTATAAAATTTCGAAAATCTTATCACGATTTACAAACGAATCTATAAAATATTTTCTTTTCAAAGTTCAAGGCTCGGATAAAAAAGAAAATTCTCGAAAATGAATCTTTATTTAATGTCTCCAAAATTTCTATTGGCATCCCTTTTTAATAGCATTTTTTATAAAATTTCAAAAATCTTACGATATATAAAATATCCATAAAATATTTTCTTTTCAAATTTCAAGGCTCGGATAAAAAAGAAAATTTTCGAAAGTGAATCTTTATTTAATGTCTCCAAAATTTCTATTGGCATCCCTTTTTAATAGCATTTTTTATAAAATTTCAAAAATCTTACGATATATAAAATATCCATAAAATATTTTCTTTTCAAATTTCAAGGCTCGGATAAAAAAGAAAATTTTCGAAAGTGAATCTTTATTTAATGTCTCCAAAATTTCTATTGGCATCCCTTTTTAATAACATTTTTTATAAAATTTCGAAAATCTTACCATGATAAATAAAATATCCATAAAATATTTTCTTTTCAAATTTCAAGGCTCGGATAAAAAAGAAAATCGTGAATCTTTATTGAATGTCTCCAAAATTTCTATTGGCATCCCTTTTTAATAGCATTTTTTATAAAATTTCAAAAATCTTACCACGATATATAAAATATCCATAAAATATTTTCTTTTCAAATTTCAAGGCTCGGATAAAAAAGAAAATCGTCGAAAAAAGTGAATCTTTGATGCCATTGAATGCCATTGGCATCCCTTTATAATAGCATTTTTTTATAAAATTTCAATTTAATCGAGTATGATTTCGAAAATTTTACTACGATACAAACGAATCCATAAAATATATTCTTCTCAAATTTTAAAGCTCAGATAAAAAAGAAAATCATCAAAAGTGAATCTTTATTGAATGTCTCCAAAATCCCTATTGGCATTCCTTTATAATAGCATTTTTTTATAAAATTTTAATTTAATCGAGTATGATTTCGAAAATTTTACCACGATATATAAACGAATCTTCAAGGTTCAGATAAAAAAGAAAATTGTCTAAAATGAATCTTTATTGCCATTGAATGTTTTCAAAAAAATCTCTATTGGTATCCCTTCTTAATAGCATTTTTTATAAAATTTCAACTTAATCGAGTATCGAGTATGATTTTATTACGAAATGAAAATTTTATCACGATATACAAACGAATCCATAAAATATATTCTTCTCAAATTTCAAGGATAAAAGAGAAAATCGTCGAAAGTGAATCTTTATTGCCATTGAATATCTCCAAAATCTCTATTTAATAGGCATCCCTTTTTAATAGGATCTTTTATAAAATTACAACTTAATCAAGTATCGAGTATTGTTTATAATCGAAGCAAGCATTTCGAAAATCTTACCACGATAAGAACGAATCTATAAAATATATTCTTCTCAAATTTTAAGGCTCGTCGAAAGTGAATCTTTATTGAATGTCTCCAAAACTCTATTTAATAGGCATCCCTTTTTAATATAATTTTTTTTAAAATTTCAACTTAATCGAGTATGATTTCGAAAATCTTACCACGATATACAAACGAATCTTCAAGGCTCGGATAAAAAGGAAAATCGTCGAAAGCGAATCTTTATTGCCATCCAATTTTTAAAAGAGCTGCCAATGCTTTTTGCTAACAGCATGGAAAGATCTGGATGCTCATCATCATCGTTTGGAGCAATCGTTTGGAGAATTAAACCTTGATCTACGAACGTAACAGTGATTCCACCGGTTGGATTCAATACCTCTGGGGTCTTCTTGGTCGCGGAGCGAGGTTTTGCCCGTGTTCTTGCGCCGACGCTCGATGTTCGAACCAACGAGTCGCCTTGGGACGTACGGCTGGATTGTAGCGCTTCCCCGCTGCTGTATCCGCTTGATATGTCGTCCGAGGACCTTATGTTGCTGAAACGGCAACCATTTACAATCGCACGACCGATTCATTCCACGCAACAAAAGGTCACTCTACTCACGTTAAGCTGGTTGTCGGCTCTCTGGACCGCGGTTGTCTAACGTCCACGTCCACCTCGGAAAAGTACATCTCCACGCGATTGCTGCTCGACTGCGTCCGACGAGGACTGTACCCTCTTCTCCCTACGTGCTCTCTTCGACGAGGTTCCACTGCACGAGGTTTCACCATCGGGAATAAAATTGCGAAATTAATTTATTCGTTCGTATCATTTGCGTTATGAGAAAAATGTGATACTTTTTTTTATTATTGATTTTTCTTGAAGTCGAATCTTTAGGAAATATATCGTAAAAGATGTATCGTTTCGAACAAATTTTTCCATATTTTTTTTACGAGTCGATGTAAATTTTCGATACTGTGGTATTGAA